TTTCTAGATTCATCCATGTTGCTGCAAATGGCACTATTTCATTCTTTTTATGACTGAGTAGTATTCCATTGCATATATGGACATCTTTATCCATTCATCTGTCAATGGACATTTAGCTTGTTTCTGTATCTTGGCTATTGTGAATAGTGCTGCTATGAACATAGGGGCACATGTATCTTTTTGAATTAGTTTTTGCAAGGATGTATGCCTAGGCGTGGGATTGCTAGATCATACTGTAATTCTATTTTTAGTTTTCTGAAAAACTTCCATACTGTTTTCCATACAGTTGCACAAATTTACATTCCCACCAACAGGTAGGAGAGTTCTCTTTTCTTCACACCCTCTCCAGCATATATTGTTTGTAGACTTTTAAATGTATCTCATTGTAGTTTTGATTTGCATCTCTATTAATTAGCAATGTTGAACATCTTTTTACATGCCTCTTGGGTCATCTGTATGTCTTCTTTGGAGAAATGTCTATTCAGAGCTTCTGTCCATTTTTGGGTTGGGTTGCTTGGAGTTTCTTGTTGAGCTATATGAGCTATTTGTTTATTTTAGAAATTAAGCCATTGTTGGTCACATTGTAAATAATTTTTTCCCATTCCATTCTCTTAATTGGAGAAGTAGATAGGTAGGTAGATAGTTTGCTATCTACCCACTATCTACCCAGCTAACAGATATATCTAATGTACATTAATGTCAGGAGGAAAATCTGACCTAGAAGCCATAACCTGAAGTTTCCCGTCCTGTGCCCTGAGTTTCTGACGAGCCAACTGACACATCTTTGGCATGTCTCTGAACCACTCTGTCTCCAAGCTTCTAAAATTTCTCTCTTGATTTCTTCTTTGACCAACTGAAGTAGCCTCCAAATACTTGTGAATTTTCCAGTTTTCTTGTAATTGACTTCTAGTCATACTATTGTGCTCAGAAAAAATGACTGATACTGTTTGGCTCTTAAACTTATTTTAATATGTTTTGTGGCCTAATATATGATCTATCATGGAAATATTCCATGTGTGCTTAAGAAGAATGTTGAGTGGAATATTCTGTATTATGTTTCTAAGTCCACTTGTTACAATATGTCCTTTTAAGGCAAATGTTGCCTGATTAATTTTTATCTGGGTGATCTATCCATGATGAAAATGGAATATTAAAGTCACCTACTACTATTGTCAATGTCTTTGTAGGTTTATTAATATTTGCTTTATTGAGGTGGTCCTATATCAGGTATGTAAATATTATAAAATGTTATATCCTCTTGTCAGATTGACCTCTTTATCATTATACAATGACCTTCTTTGCTTCTTACTACAGTTTTTGTCTTAAAAATCTATTTTGTTTGATATAAGTATAGCTACTCCAGCTCTCTTTTGGTTTCCATTTGCATGGAATATCTTTTACTATTCCTTTGCTTTCAGTCTGTGTGTGTCCATAGACTTGAAGTGAATCTCTTGTAGGCAGAATATAGCTAGGTCTTGGTTTTTAATCCATTCAGCCACTTGATGTCTTTTGAGAATGTAGTCTCGTTACATATAATTATTGGTAAGTATGTGCTTATTATCATTTTGTTGTCTTCTGGCTACTTTGTAATTCCTTTTTTTCTTCTTGCTTTCTTTGTGATTTGATTTTCTGTAGTGGTATATGCTTAGATTTTTCTATCTTTTGTGTATCTTTTATTGGTTTTTGCTTTGTGGTACCATGATGCTTACATAAAATTTATTACAGTCTATTTTAAGTTGATGACAGCTTGAGTTCATACTTGTTAATTGTAATTACAATTCTACATTGTAATTCCATTTTAAAATTTATTTATAAATAAGTGTTAAAATTTTACCTTTTTATTAACAAATAAACATTAACAAATCATTATGGCAGAAGTTATTTTTACTAATTTTGTCTTTTAACCTGCACACTAGCCTTATAAGAACTTAACTCATTACTGTTACATTAGCTTTTTCTGAATTTTACTATATATCTACCTTTACCAGAGATTTATACTTTGCTTTTCTTGCTAATCATTAGTATACTTTCATTTCAGCTTAAAGTCCCTTTAACATTTCTTGTTAGGCCGAGACCAGTGGTGATTAACCACAATAGCATTTCCTGTCTCGGAAAGTCTTAATCTCTCCATTAACTTTGCCAGGCAGAGAATTCTTGGTTGGAAGTTTTTTTCCTTTCAGCACTTTGAATATCTCATAGCACTTCCTTCTGGCATGTAAAGTTCCCGTTGATGAAGTCTGCTGATAGTCGTATAGGGCTTCCTTTATTACGTATCAAGTGGTTTTTTTCTTGCGGCCGATAAGATACTCTCTTGGTCTTTAACCTGAACCTTAATTAAAAGGTGTCTCAGTATGGGTCTCTTTATGTTGTTGTTTAGGGGGCTTGTCTCTCCAGGGCAGGTCTTAGAAGTTGTGATGCAAGATGTGGAGTTCAAACTCTTCACTCCTCAGGGAGAACGCAGGGGTGCAACTTCCCTCCTGAGTGTGGGTCTCCACACTGAGAGTAGAGTTGACGGTGAGATTCTGTCTCAGCCTTTCCTACCAGCTTAGAAGTGGGTTTTTCCTTGCAGGACGCTCTCAGCTAATTTTGTTTTGTTTTTCTTTTTTCAGAGGAAACTGTTTCTATCTTGAGCTGGAACCCATATCCTTTTAAAATAAGGAACTGAAAGCATCACTGACACTATAGATACTGTTTACCTTAATCTTTACCCAACTGAATAGCAAGGAATAATGGGGGATGTTCTGCTGATGCCACAAATTCTCAGATTAACAGGGATAAGTCACAAGTGGTCATGGGGAAGGATGGGAAAGATAATCTGCAGTTACTGATCAGAATAAAGAGAAGTGACAGGTCAGATTTTTAACATATTAAGGTACCACTTGAGTATGGTGAGAATTTTTTATGAAAAAGTTAGTACAAGACTTTACAAAATAGGACATCTGCCCCTCCCAAAAGAAACCAACAGAATGTAAGTTATCTGTTAACTCTCATTTTATTTACTGTGGACTGCAGACATAGTCTTGCCTCTTCTCTAGCTGGACAACTTCTTATTGCAAGCAGCTAGAGTCCAGTTGTGGCAAGTGGACAAACTTCATCAGTTACAAGACAGAAGACTTTACTAACAAATAGTTTATAGATCAAAAGATCTTTCCACGAATACTGGTCCAAGAAATTTTATGGAAAATCCAACAAAAGTTCGCTTTAGAAAAACTTTATGAGTATATGACTAGCAATACACAGAATGTTTAAATTTAAAAATATTATGAGACATAACACTACATTCCCATTGGGAGCATAAAGCTGAGTACTGTGACTACGCAAAAAAAAAGAGTTTAAAATTTTTCTTTTACAACATAACAGAAGATATTCAAACTAAAAAGGCAACAGATTTGACTAAATGGCAAATCTACCTATATAGTTTTCATTCTGTAAAGAAAGAACTTGTGAAATACTCCTAAAAGCCACCGGACAGAACAGGATAACCATAACTTTTGTTATACTCCACATTTCTTTGAACTCAGAGAATCTAGGACTTTAAATCTTTATGCTACAGAGAACAGTATTATCCACTGAAACAGAAGGTAATTTTCTAAAGGGTATTCATTCTCCAGGTCATTAAAGAATTTTACATTTTTTCCTTATTCAAAAGATTTACCAATTGGTAAGAAGAAACAGACACCTGAAAAATCTTTTTGCTTACCTTTTTGGGTTTTGCTTTGCTACTTGCAATTTTCTTATACATGCTTTGCAGGTCATTTGGAAATATGACTACTTCCTTTGCTGGGTAAACAGTTTATAAAAATTAAGTGCACAATGACTACAATGAATGTTCCTGAATATAAACTTTCAACCTGTTACAGTATATTACCCATAGAGAAAAGGTACAAAACTACTGAGACAGGTAATACAGAATTACAGTTTTAACAAAAACCTGTGAAAGGCAATTGGCAAATTACAATTTTGATTGGTTTCCATCATCATTTTTATTGTCTGCCCACAAATTTTGTAGTTTGGAGTTCATTTCAGATACTTCTAAGAGTCCACTTCATGAGTTAAATATGTACATACAAAATAAAACAGATATACTGTAACTTATAAAAATTAAATTGTTTTATATATTATAGGTTGGAGGCAGGTTAATATAATCAAAGGTTACAGTTCTAAAAAGTATGGTTTGTTTCAAGTATTACTGAGCCATACTTAAAGTACATCCTCAACTCTTATCACATTATTTACAGCTGTCCAATAACTCGAGCAGTAAAATATCTGAAGTACGAAACATGTAATGTTGATAACAAACATTTTTGAACAACAGGAATAAGATTAGTGAACAAAGTAAATCTAGAACAAGGAAAGGGAAGGTACATTTATTAAAAATAAAAATAGTTGACAATCTCTGATAACAAAACCATTGAGAATCGAAATATATCCAATATACATTGTAACAATGCACATATATTTTAAAAAACTGAAGAGGCATTAAGTAGTTCTGCTTAGAATTAGAGAAAACAGGATTGTGGCTTGCTCCTGTGGGAGGCCGGCGTACACACAGCAGCACCCCTCTGTGTCTTGTGCATCACAGTGGTGCATGGCGTGTGTGCATTCAGTGAACACACAGAAACTGCGATTTTCTCCAGAAACAGTAAGGATGATCCAGTATGTAAGTCAGTGGCTCTGGCTCCATTTCATAAAAAATCTGTGTAGGCTAGAAGCGTAAGGACAACCATTTTCAAAAGCTTCAGTTTTACCAAAAGGTACAGAATAAACAACTCAATCTAGATGCTTTCACATTATTTTGGACGGTGTAAAAATTTATGTAAAATCTTAAGCTCGCCAAACTAGTGTCTTTAAACTTTATCAAAAGTTCATCACTATTTTAGCATGGCTGGTAAGTCTTTTCTGTCTTCGTCACTAATAATGCTTGTCAAACCACAGAACTCTGAAAAAGAATACACACTGCTGAAGGAAAATAGTACCAAAAATGTACCTGGACTTCAGTCTTAAGACACACACAGTTCCTGTTGGATACTGGACTGTGAAAGTTTATTATCTTCAGTCTTTTCAGGTCCTGGGGCTTGGCACATGGTCTTTCGCTTAAATAATCGAAGACTCAGTCGTAACAGTTCATTGTCTACCATTGGAGCATTTGTATAAGCTTGTTTTACGGTGCCCTATTTGGAGAAAACGTTTAAAAAGATGTAGATTAGGTCACAGTAGAAAAGACAGGTTAAATTGCTAACAAAAATCAGTTATAAGAAAAATCAGTTTGAGATAGGTATTAAATTAGCTGTGCATACATGCTAAGTCGCTTTACTCGTGTCAGACTCTTTGTGACCCCATGGACTATAGCCTGCCAGGCACCTCTGTCCATGGGGTTCTCCAGGCAAGCATACTGGAGTGGGCTGCCATGCCCTCCTCCAGGGTTGGGTTTGATTCCCAACCCAGGGATCAAACATCTCCTGCATTGGCAGGCAAGTTCTTTACCAATAGTGCCACGTGAGCTGTATTGGATATTTAAAAGCAAAATTAAGAAATGCTGTTTTCCGACTCAAGGAAAAGAAAGCAATCTTTAGAGGGTGCCTAGTCTAACTTCTTGCTTAAAGTAGGAATCTTCTTGACAATCCCTGACAGGTAATCAAGTAGTTTTCACTTCATCATTTCCAATGACAAAACAAAACAATAAAAACCACATGGCACATTACATTGTTAAGCAGTATGATTTCTTACACATGTTGAAATAAAATCTTACATGAAGTTACACACTAATTCAATCTTACTTTCACAGGGCACCAAACATTCCATACTCCTTACTGGTCTACTAATGTGCCATAAGATGCAGGCTCTAGAAGTGAACAAATTCTCCAGAAGACAGCTGATCCGTGCAACCTACTGAGAAACTATCACCTCCTTTGTTCTAAGAGGTAGACCTCTACTATTGGAACCTAAAGCTATCTTAGAAGTTTTGAAAATTACTGTTGTAAAATTTTGTTAAACATCCTCCAACTATGCATAACAGAGAAGGCAATGGCACCCCACTCCAGTACTCTTGCCTGGAAAATCCCATGGACAGAGGAGCCTGGTGGGCTGCAGTCCATGGGTTCGCACAGAGTCGGACACGACTGAAGTGACTTAGCAGCAGCAGCAACCATGCATAATGAAATAAGGTGCAACCATGCATAATGAAATAAGGTAAGATTTGCTATTTCCAGCACTCTGCTATTTCTCTTCTAGAATCCTTAAAGGAACAATGATGCCTTGTCACATTTGCATTACAAAAAAAGGTTTTTTTAAGTTGTGATACACTAAAACTGGCTTTTATGTATACAGTTCTGAGTTTTAAACTCATGTTTATAGTTAAAAAACCATGACCACAATTAGAAGAGAGAAATTTCATCATTCAAAAAAAAAAACACCTTCCTTTGTTTTCCCTCTGTACTCCACCTTCTCCCCAACTCTAACCCCTTATAACCAATGATATAACAGCCAAACCATAACAGAACTTTGATAATGTCATGTTCATGGTCTGCCCTCAACTGGAAGGATTTACAAGGTTCTGAATGATGGTTCTCAGTGAGAAATTTGCAGGGGTGTTTTTGGGTATCATAATTTTTGAAGGGTACTATTAGAGAAGGAACCAGGAAATGTTATAAAATATTTTTATAAAAAGGGAGCAGGAGTCTGATGACACTGCAAACCATATAGCCTCTCAACCAGGGTTCCTTACCTGAACCAAACAGAAAATAGTTGGGTTTCAAATCCCTTTATTCTTCTCAAGTAAATGCTTACATGTAATCACCTATATTTATTTTCTCTCTTCAACCTGGTATATTTTCATAAACACTATATATATAAACATGCTCTATACAGTAATAAAATCTCCTTACCACTCTGTATCTGGGAAATGTTTTTCCTTGATCTTCAATTTAAATAAATTTCTAGTATATTTTATTACCTAAAGAAACTTTGCAAATGAGAAGTATTTCATAGGAATAGAGTATTTTAAATTTTCTTTAAGCCTCAGTAACAATTTGCTATTCAAAAGAAATGTTCAATAGTATTAAAGTAAAATAAAAGGTATTATAAATTCTAATAAAATTCTTTCTCTTAGATATGTACATGACTGGGAAACCAACTCAAAAAAACAGATTATGAGACCTCAACCTCACTGCAAAGCAATCAAATGAAAAATATGTACATGTGACTCAACAGTTTCTGATTTTTCTAAGGAAGTAACAGTACCTTCTCGTTTTTAACAAGCTGCTTTCGGATTGCAGAATCCCGTCTGAAGCATAATGCTTTACAACACGGTCCAAGGTTACTAAGCAGATTTGCTCTTTCCTCTTTTCGTAGTAATGCAGCCATGTTGAGAGCCCCGAGTTCATGTTCAAAGAGACTGTCTACATCTTTCAAAAAAAAAAAAACAAACACACATTAAGGTTTCTGAAAACAGAAATGTTAACAACTGCTTGGATGAATATTCCACAAAATCTATATATAAGCGAAGTCACCAACAGTGACTTCCCTGGGGGCTCAGACAGTAAAGCGTCTGCCTGCAATGTGGGAGACCCAGGTTCAATCCCTGGGTCAGGAAGATCTCCTGGAGAAGGAAATGGCAACCCACTCCAGTACTCTTGCCTGGAGAATCCCATGGACGGAGGAGCCTGGTGGGCTACAGTCCACGGGGTCGCAGAGAGTTGGACATGACTGAGCGACTCACCAACACTGGTGAAGATAATTTTGTGTATTAAACACAACATGTACTCTGTGAGAGAACGCCAACACGTAGTTTTGCTGCTGCTGCTGTTGTGTCCAACTCTGTGCGACCGACCCCATGGATTGCAGCCCCCCAGGGTCCTCTGTCCACGGGGATTCTCCAGGCAAGAATACTAGAGTGGCTTGCCATGCCTTCTTCCAGGGGATCTTCCTGACCCAGGGATCGAACCTGAGTCTCCTGAATTGCAGGCAGATTCTTTACCACTGAGCCACCAGGGAAGCCCAGTCTTGCCACTAGTCTCAAACAAAAATAAATATTCTGATAGTCACTTTTTTTAAGATATAAGAAAAGCAAAATGGGGAGAGAGAATTTAGACATGGGTTACTATGAGAAGAAAAGTTCAAGTTAATTAGTAAAGTCAAATTCAATATATTGCTTACTGTCAACTACTAAAAGTTCTAGGTTCAGGACTTTACTACATTTGAATCTTGCCATAATAATGTGACTACTGTGTGGTCCCCCCAAAACTCTGTTGGGAAAGTGATTAGGTGTTAGATGATCTACAAATTTTATCCAATATTTGGTCACTGTAAAAACCTGGGACAATGTATCAAATTAAAATCACTTTAAGTCACAGCCTGCAAGGTGAGGAGAAAAATCTGTTAAAAATAGACAAAAAGGAATGAAAAATGTAGAAAATAGGACCAGTCAATAATTGAAGAGAGTAAGAATAGTTATTTCACAAATATTCATCAAATACTGTGTGTCAGGTACTATTCAAGGCAATGGCAAAATTAGATCACCAGACACTGGATATAGCAGTAAATAAAGTCCTATTCCTTAGAGAACTTCTACTCAGTATCATGTATTAGTTCTCTAATAAAGCTATCTCACCACCAAAAAACAGGACTACTTGGTAAAGTGTTAGTCATTCAGTCGTGTCCAACTCTTTGAGACCCCATGGACTGTAGCCCACCAGGCTCCTCTGCCCATGGGATTCTCCAGGCAAGAATACTAGAGTGGGTTGCCATTTCCTCCTCCAGGGGATCTTCCTGACCCAGGGATGGAACCCAGATCTCCCACATCGCAGGCAGATTCTTTACTGTCTAAGCCACCAGGGAAGCCTGGACTACTTGCTAAGGAAGAATCAAATCCCTCTTCACAGTATATATTTTCATTGTTTAAGTGATCATTAGTCAGGGACAAACTATAGTCTGATTGTGCTAACTATGCAACAGATTTTAACCTGAAATGCCATTAACAAAAGTCACAGAAGAAAATAGCTGCAGATGTGGATAAGACCTTAGGGGTTTCATTACAGATTTTATGCCCACAGGCGTTACATGCTTAAGATCACAGAGCCAATCAAACAAGGGAGAAAGAATGGGACAAGAACTTAAGACACCGGTCACTTGTCAGATTAACACACACACAGTAAGTATATTGGGCCATATTAAAATCAAGAGAGTTACTGCTTACGCTAACAGAGCTGAAGAGAGAACATGTATTCATGAAACATAAAACAAACTTTTTTCAATTTTATATTAGTAAAAAGCTCAATTCTTTTACCTCAAACTTTTTCACCTCATGAACATGATAAAACATTAAATAATCTTACTACTTTCATCTTTTACCTCCTATCCTTTTCACATTCCTCTTCCCCATTAATAAAGTATTAATAAGCGGCCAAAACACAGGGGATATTCCCAACCCAGGGACTGAACCTGGATTTCCTGCACCGAGGGATTCTTTACCATCTCAGCCACCAGGGAAGCCCAAGAATACTGGAGTGGGGAGCCTATCCCTTCTCCAGGGGAACTTCCCGGCCCAGGAATCAAATTGGGGTCTTCTGCATTGCAGGTGGATTCTTGACCAGCTGAGCTACCAGTAAAGCCCAATAAGCTGCCAAAACACAGTGAAGTAGGTTTCAGATAACAGGAGAAAAAAAAAAAAAATCTACAAACTAAAAATGTTCTGGAATAGTAAAAAGCTGTAGCTGTTTTCACTGTCTAAAATCAATGTGATAAAATATTTTCAAACTAAATAGCAGTAGTAATATTTACTAGGCATCACTGCATGTCAAAAACTATTCTAAGTGTTTTACTTGTGATAACTCATTTGTTCCTCCTAACAATCAGGTGGCTTGGTGGTATAATAACTCCCAGTTTGCAGATGGTGACAGTATCATATAGATTAACCATAGCGAGTAAGTGGTATACCTATTGGAATCCAGGCCATCTGGTTCACAGACTGAGTTGTTAAGCACTTTGTAGAAGGCTCAACCTAAACATCTGCATTTGAGCAAAATTCTCCATTTCCCAGGGGAAAGCACTACCAAGATTATCAATCTGCTTAGACATGAAAAATATCTAAATTCACTTTCCTAAGATCTACTTCATTTAGCCCTGGGCAAACCACCGAGCACTATCACACTTACCTGTTAAAAAAGTAGTTTTGATGCAGAAAGATCATTGTGCTATGTTTACAACGCATCTGTAGGTTTAAATTACTCTCAAAACAAACTTTGACCATGAGTATTAAATAATGAAAATAAATGATTCTTTAAAAAAAAATTCTTATAACTACTACATAAGAACAGAACAGACTCCTTTTCAAAGGCATCTTCATATTTATATTAGATATTATACACTTAAATTGGGATGGAATTACCTTTGGGCTTTTCTAAAAGTCTCTGACATGTTTCTTTGACTTTCGTAAAGAGCTCAGGACCAGCCAACTTTTTAGAAATGCCAACTCGCAGCATAACAGCTCCAGGTGTGAATTTTAAAAGCGCGGCCCCAGGCTCTCGTGGTTCTTTTGGATGCTTTGGCATAAGACCAGACCAATCCACGTCTATCACATCTAGCGGATCTACAAAAAGTTATAGAATTTTCTTACACCAAGAAATACCATTCCTGTTATCCAGCAAGAAATACAGATTGAAAGACACAGGAAAGCAAACAATAAGTAATTTAAATTAAAAAAGGCATATTCTTAAAAGATTTTCTATAAAAACTAGTATTTAGAATCTAAGAAATTTTACAAATAAACTTCCTCACCAAAGGAAAATAGTAAAGAGGTCTTAGGCAAGTGCTCCCACCCATCTGCATTTCTTTTATATGTGGAATCTAAAAGAATCAAACAAACAAAAAGAAATCCACACTCACAGAGATTGGTGGTTTCCAGAGGGGGAGGGATCTGAAGGTTAGACAAAATGTGTGAAGGGTATCAAGAGGTACAAACTTGCAACGATAAATAAATCATGGTAATGCAATGTACAGTGTGGTGACTCTAGTAAACAACATTGTATTCCAACATTAAAAGTTGCTAGAAAGTATGAAAAGTTCTCATCACAAGGAAAAGAACTGTGTAACTTTGCATGGCGGTAGATGACACCATGTCAAGGTAACTAGACAATGTGGTGATCATGTTGCAATGTATATACAAATGTCTAATCACTATGTTGTGCACCTGAAATTAATGTAATTTATGTCAATTATACTTCAATAAAGAAAAATCCAAAACAAAAAGCAAGCAAACAAGCCCCTAAGCAAACCCATCCCTACAAATAATGCCTTTAAATTGCTTCAGAGAGTCTCAATGAAAGAATTCCACTATTTCACTAAGACTAGGTCTGACACTTTGAAACTTGGTACCAGAATCGTCCAAGGGTTCATTAAATCTAGGAATGTATTTAATTTCCATGTGTACATGCACAGACAAACACAAAGACACTACTTTTAAAAAAAACAAATAATTCATTATGAAATAACTAAGAATCAGGCAGTGGATAGAATTAAAATTGAGAATAATCTATCCACTGACAAGGAATAGTTTAGGAAATTAACAAAATAATGTTCTATTCAGAAACACCTAATAGTTGATGATAATAAAGATAACATACATACATTATACATTAGTATAAAAAACTGTAAAATACAAGAGCAAATTAAGTCAAAATAAAGATTTAATATTCTACATACCCAAAAACCCTTACTATGATAAATTGTTAGTAATAATTAGACTAATTGGGATGATTCAACAAGAACAATAAAGGTTGCTGATTCATGGCGTAGTCACTGGAGTAAGCTCTGGTTTACTATAAGTGAATATTTCACTACAAATGAAAATATTACTGAATTTAGAAAATCAAGAGAAGTATAAAAACAGTGTTCAAATACAACCTCAAGTTTTTAAGTTTCTGAATGGTCATTTCAACAGTTTGTGGAACATAGTTGTGAAGCTCTGTACCATATACCTACCATCTGTTTTAAATTCCAGGTCCTGCAACAGGAATCAAACTCTGGAAAGGAAATCTTACAATCGTGCTATTTTAGATACTGCCCTTTTCAATTTATAGGCAATGTCTATTTAAAAATGAACAGAGCATAATAACTATAACTTTTGCTTTACTGGCCTTTCAATGTTAATTAAAACACAACTGGGAAGATTCTGTGTTTTATAAATTCTTACAGCATGAAAGGGAACAAAGAATACCTCAATATCATAATTAAATGCCTTTTATGTCCAACCACCTCTGCAATGATTACCTGGCATCTTCTCCTCATCCTGTTGGTCCTCCCGCTTTTCAGCATCACCTGCCAGAATTTCATCTAGTTCATCATCACTAATTGGCTCGTATCCTTCTCCAGCACCAGATCCCAATGAATGGGCATCATCTAGCTTGGATTCATCGTCTCCTGCTAAACAGAAAAATTAATTTCATGCCAAAGAAAGCATTAAGGGAAAGGGACATCTAAGTGAAACCAAAGAGGAGAGGCTGGGCACACTAAAAAAATTGAGAAGCATTTTTTAATTTAAAACTACATTTCTTAATTATTCAAAACACTTGATAATTCCAAAAGAAAACTTAAAAATGAATTAAATTTAGTTTTAATGACAAGAGCACAGTATGGACAGCAATATCGAAATAGGTTATAAGATTACAATTAAAATATGAGAAATAAAATCTATCACTAACATATTAGTACTAGTTAACTTTTTATAATAAAACTAATTCAGAGAAATCCACTAATTTCAAAAGGATGCATTAATTTCTTTATCAAAATATATTCAATTTTTAAAAGCTTACAAACTAATTACTAGAATTAATATGAAGTTTAAATCTTAGCTCATAATATTTTATTCATGATATGAAGAACTCTACAGTGGTGAGGTAGAAATTTAAGTGCCATTAATCCCCATTCCCCTTTGCCACCAATCTCCCAATTCATCTTCCCTATTCCAATGTTTTCCTTTAATTAATATATGCAATTTTAAAAGATTGCTGTAATATAATTTTAAAGTATTTTTGTTAGTAACCACTAGTGTATCTTCCATTTCTTTATTTACCAACCTGCCTCAACTACTTATGCTAAAGCTTTGTCTCTTGGTGAGTTACTTATAAACTTGAATTATCATAGTACTACACAGTACATTTAAGATTTCTAAGCAGGTTCTATCCATATACTTTATTGAGTTTACAACACTAGGTTTCAAAATGCAACAGTATCCTTTATAGATATAAACTTGCAGCAAATAAACTATGGGATGTTTCTAGTCATTCTAATAATTTTCTACTCTATTAAATTCTGTACTAATCTCATACCCCCACCAATTCACTTATAAACAATTTTAACAACTTCATTATACAAATATACATCTAAACATAAATACAAATAAAAGGATTTCTAACTTTTCAAGCTTATCAAACTCATTGTCCTACTTTAAGTGGGTAAAGTTTTTCATTTCACTTCTAAATCTCCATGCCACATTATCCACGGTCACAACCAATGAATGGTATATTTTATGGGATGAAGGGCACAAATTCCAATCACAGGAGAGTGATTATAATGATTAGTTCAAATTACATTAAATTATACCCCAAGGCTGTACCTCCAACAGTACTATGGCTCACAAATTGATGCTACTGAATTTCAAATTTTAGATAAAAATGAATGTGATGACCACTGAGGTAGAAACGTTTTTGTCAAGTAGAAAAAAATGTTAACAGTTTGGTGTACTGAAATATATCTAACCAAATAACCAAAAGATACAAGGATGTTTATAGTTTTATAAGAATGTGAGCAACTTTATTCTGGGACTAGTGCTGCAATACAGCAAATAAAAGGAACGTAAAATATTACTGCTCATGTACTAAGCATCCCAGAAGTTTCTTGGGGGCTTGACGTGGAAAGGGTACATAAGCACTGGTATCAGAATTGGACAGTTCATGGAGGCAGAATTTCCAGGAGCATTCTCAGGGGAGGCCATTACTATTGTTACCCTGGACTATAATTCACCACAGAATAAGATGTAGGACAGGTATGGACAGGCAGGACAGATTTTCATGCATCAGCTATTTATTGTGTCCTTGCTAAAGGCTCGAAGATAAAGAAATAAAAACCTATGGTGCTTAACAAACGAGTACAATATAATGGGGAGAGAACCATGGAAAATAATTTACAATATGGTGCAGAGATGCTATTAAAGATGTATAAACAAGGTGCTTTGGCAATTTGAAAGACTAAGCACCTTTAGCAGAGACAGCTTCAGAGGAAATAAGGCATAAACTGGGACTTGCTGTTTGAGTAAGAAAAGACAGAAGGGAAAAGGTCTGTCAGGCAATGGGAAGAGAGGCTCAGAGAAGGCTTGAGGGGGGAGACCACCCAGAGAACACAGAGGTGAGTCAGTATGTACAGCAGGCTGGGGGTGAAGGATGGACGATGGAGGGTCACGCAGTGGCAGCTGGCTCTGACTGGGTAAAAGGGTGTACGTGGCCTTCTCAGAGTCCCTCATTCTAGGAGCTGGGAGTCAGTTTTAATAAGGGACCTCAGGATCCTCAGATTTTACTACCTATGGCAGGCTCTGGAACCCATTCCTGCAGATACTGAGAGACTGAAGGATGACTATAATTTTATCTCATTTAGGCTTATTAGAACCAAGTCTACCTTAAAAGTACTAACGAGGGGAACAAGTTTTTTAAGTATCATAGGACTTTTCCTTATAAAATCTATTTTCCCTAAAACGATGGAGTCAATAATCCTATCAGATGACCCTTCAAAAGGAAGTACTGGTTTCCTATGAGATCTGAGAAGAAATGGGGCAGTGAAACAGATGGAAAGGAGTGACACTCACCTTCCACACTCTCAGTCCTCTCAGCTTTACTTATATCTTCAAATCCCTGCACAGATCCCAGATCTTTATCCAGCCTTTCTTTATCCAAAGCTCCAGAGTCTCGGGAACCGCCTTCTAGGTCTCTGTCATGTTCACTCTCCAGCTTGACTTCACTGCGTTTTACAGACTCTACTTGAGAACCCTCAAACGTCCTGTCCCTGTCCCTCTCCCGGTCCCTTTCCAGGGCATCGGAGAGTAGTCGCTCCCTCTCCCTGTCCAAGTCTCTCCTCTTGTCCCGTTCCCTCTCCCGTTCCCGCAGTCGGTCCCGGTCCCTATTCCGGGGCCAATCTTTATCGGCATCCCGCTCCCAGTCTCTCTGTCGCACGTCCCTCCTTTCTCGCTCCCGCTCTCTCTCGTGCTCGTAACGGTCGCGCTCTTGAAGCCTCTCTCTGCTATCAAACGACCCCGATCTTGAGTGGACCTGTCGATCTGACTCAGGAGAACTTCTTCTGGAACTATGGCTTCTTGAATCCTGGCGATCTAAAATCAATGTACCATATACAAAGACTTAACACATGATAAAACAGAAATAAAACGCTTTAACACAAGGTCTTTTAAAACTTACAATTTCACTTTTTCTGTACTTGTTTTAAATTATCCAAAGAACTCATCTTAAGTAAAAAATCCATCTCAAAGAAAAACATCCACCACTCTTCAGTAGTGTCAAATATGCAAAAGGCATATTTGTTTCCTTGTTTATTTCCATTATAACCACAAAAGATCTTCAAAGAAATAGGTATGTAAACATTAGTAAGCATTAATAGAACTGATCATTTCATTATGTACCTCCCCACTACCTTATTTACCCAGTCAACAGAGAAAAAGCATTGGTTGCAAGAAGTAGAACCAGAAGGTTAAAATTTTTAGGCATCAATAGAGAACCTGAACATGTAAGTGCTTTCCAACAAAATATACTACTAAAATGCTGATGTTAAACTGAGTGACGTCACTGAATGTACCTCTACTCTATTGGTATTAATGTGATAATAGGTAACATCATGGTGGGATGGCTAAGCTTTTTAAGCTCCTTGAAAAATTTAAGGCAGTGTATAAACAACTTAGCATTTACTTTAAAATTACAATTCGAACAAAACATAAAAATGTACAAAACATACTCACATAAGAAACACTGGTTAGTTTGTAATTTGTTTTTATTACCTGAGGAAGTACTTCGACTAGGTTCTCCACGCTTTAGCTGATCAATCCTGGATTTTCTCTCTCCTGTGATTTCCAGACTTTTGGTTTTTTCTCTGTCTCTTGAGCCGCTATGCAGCACTCTCTTTCGACCGTTCTGGTCATCCCCACTTCGATGAGCAGAGTCGTTGGATGGGGAGCGGAGACGGCCAGAGGTGTGACTGCGATTACTCCGATTGCTGCCGAGGCTGCTGCTCCGCTTCTGATCCACTGGCTTGCGATGTGGTGCGTCTTCTATAGTAACATGAGGCGCCTCTACCTTTTCCGCTCGTGTTCTGTGGCACTTCCTATGGGAGTCTTCACTGGTAAAAGAGGTATTGGTGGTGAGGAGGGCAGAAGTGGAAATAGTGGTGGTCGATGTGCTGAAGGCCGCGGCAGGGGTGGTCGCGGCAGCAGCCAGAGGAGGCGGGGGAGGAGGGAGAGAAGATGGGGAAGGGGTCCTTCCAGGGGTGGCGGCAGTGGCAGCATGCTCTGGCTCCGTCATGTCCGTGCGGTCAGGCACGTCCTCATCAGACCAGTCACTGAACGCTGTATCTTCTTTCTTCTGAGGGTCCTCTAGAGCGCCATCCTTTTCATTGGACATGTCAGCCAGTTCCTCTTTGGCTGTGATAGGTGGAGTCCTCGGGCCTCTTTTCTTCTTACTCTGCTGCACGGTTTCTTCATCAGAGATGTCAGAATCACCTCTGGACCTCTTACGCTTTTTTTCAACACTTTTCTTCTTCTGTCCTTTTTTTGGTGAAAATACTTGACCATCTTCAGACACTGTCTCTGTGTTTCCCCTCCCTATTCCAACATCATCATCTTTCTTTCTCTTAATAGGTTTCTTTTGAATCTTTGCTTTTCTCTTGTTCTCCTCATGAGCTCCATCAGAGATGTCTCGATCTTCGGATGGGTGGTGTCCTGTCAGGTCTTGTGAACGAGTTCTGGAGCTCTCTGTGATTTCTGTCTGTTCTCTCTGCTTATCTACAGAAGAAACCTTCTCTTTGAAATCTAGCTCTTCATAGCGCCTTGAACTTTCTTTTCTTTCTGGTTTACGATCATCTTCTCTCCATCTACCCTGCCTGTCTTCTGTAAGGTGTGATGGACTAAGAGAACGTGATTCTTGAGGTCGAACAACCTGGCTCAAGAGTCTGTGTTTTTCATCTAGACAAAAAGATAAAAATCATCAGACTCTTATCATGTTAACAATATTGCATGCTACCTATAAATAACAAACCAGTCTCTCCCTTTTCATTTTAAAGGTTTTAAAATAACAATAATTTCAGTAAAAACCGGAGTATGGCTTTACTACAACTAGTGGGAAATGACAAGTGCCACTGTGGTAAAATGACTATATATTTCAAACACAAACTTTTTTTTAGTCACAATGTGATATATTCAGAAGCAGCAGAGCAAGTAAAAATTTTAAATCTTAATTCATCATTTCCTATTGATGTAAAAGAATTGTCTCATGGTTACAAATGAATATGACTCTAGAAACAGGGAACACAGATTCTGCTTACTTTTATCATCTCCACTGTTGTAGGCGTCACTGTCAGGAGAATGCTCTCGCCGGCGCTTAGGTGACTGACGAGGGCTAGGACTCCCTTCATTTCTATAGCGCTTCCTAAATCAGACAAACGTAATTTATAAGATTCCAGGGGATGAAAAAGATTTCTTTACCACTTTTTTTTTTTACTATTATTTCTTACTGTAACTAGAATATGTAATTGTAGGATAACAATACTATCAGAGCTATCTGTATCATACAAAGGGCATTTATTTAGCATCTTTAACAAAATTCTTTGTTTGTTGAGACTTAACGATTGTGGACTTAAAATACATGGCGCCATCTCTGCTTTTTTTCACCATACATGTAGAATCACTCACTGAAATTCGCCAGATTTAATTACTGTAAAGTGGTAACACAGCAGAGGATTCAACCCTACTGAAACTTATTCATCAGTTTTACTGTTTTATGATATAGAAATACCTTTTGTCGGAAAGCCAAATGAGAAAATCTAGTATTGGCTCTGGGGTCAAACAAGACTTGAGTTCAACTTTTAGTCATGTTACCTTATTATGTAATCTTAGGTAAATTCTTTGAAGTTATTCTTAGCTTTTTCATCTGAATATAGGTGAAAAATGGGGGTCCATCTCATAAAACTGCAGTGAGGAATAAATTTGTTATGTCATAAGCCCAGTGCCTATCATGTTGTGGGCACACTAGTAAAAATTGGTTCTAACTCACCTCTTAGAACTAAATCATCTACTTAATGACAAATTAACAAAATAATTCATATGTTCATATTTCTTATTCTTTAGTTAAACTTTAGATGACTAGTGTTCTATATCTTTGGATACTTAAGTTACTCTAGTGTTTTCCTATATGTTCACTGAATTTTGACCACTTTTCTCCTTTTAACACAAACACTGTTTATAAGTATGATGGCCAGAAGTTGGGTAACACTGTAGCACATGAGCACAGGTACCTCCTTGATGGCTCATTTATACAGATGAGCAACCAGGTAGAAAATGAGGCCCCAGATGCAGTATGACAACTGACAGGCCCAAGCTTGTAACAGTTCCTTATCTAAAGCTCCTGCCATCATCAGGTAGTCTATTTCCCCATCCTTTGAATCTGGGCTAACCCAGTGACTTACTATGTATGACAAGAGGATGTGGTGAAAATGACACTGTGGTAAGTCTGGAGATTTAGGACTCAAGAGGCCTTTCAGCTTCTGCTTTTGCCTTCTTGGTATGTTTCTACTATCATATGCAAAAACAGAGTTTAGATTATTAGAGGAAAAGAGGTCAAGATACCCCAAGCAACAACCAGCACCAATCACCAGACATGTGAGGACAGCCATTTGGGGTTATTCAGACCTAGCTGACCTGCTAGAGTGACTGGAGAAACAGAGTGATCCTACATGAGACCAGCAGAAGAGCCACTCTGCTGAGTCAAACTGCAAACCCACAGAATCATGACCAAATAAACGGTGGTGGTTTTAAACTTCCACCATGACAATATATTGAGATGACAATAGATGAAAACATCAAGATATTTATCTCATATACCAAGTTACTTTATTGAGCAGCTGACTACTAAATTTCTGGGGCCCTTGTCAATGCTTGGAATATTTAACCACGACAAGCTCAAAGAAATTCTGGCTACTGTACATTCAGATCGGAAGCATGAAAAATATAATCAAACCATAGGACTAAAAAATAAATAACAAATATTTCAGAATTTTAATGTTAGAGGATAGAGTTAGAGGCCAGGGAAAAGAGAAATAATACATATTTTGTGCCTACATGTGTTAAAAGTAATATCTGAATTTTATGTTTAATGTGAGATATTTTTTAATGTGGAGTGAGAGAAGCCAGAGAGTGAACAATAGAAAACCATGGCTGCAGACTGAAGGGAAGGCAAGACCTAATGGAAGAAGCTTCCATTTCTGTGGTATGTTGTTTGTCTATAACCAAAATCCGTAACAGCAATGATGAAAAATGCCTAAATCACAGAGTGTATTCACCATGAGGCAAATGAGCTAGAAGTAGGGACAAAGAAACTGAAGCTATTTAAATGATTTCCAGTTTGTCTTAACAAATTTAACTGTATCCTCTATTCTAGTTGGCATTAAAAAAAAAAAAAGGCCTTTAATTCAGATGTTCGGTTTTGGGTCTGTAAAACCTCAAAATTGACCAATCAGAGTCTGGGATTCTCATGGCTATAGTGACTGGCTCAGCTCTCTTGTTTACTCCTCAACTGAAGGCTATAACTGAGCTGACAGGTATAACCCTGGGGTCATCCTAACTATCATTTGGGGAAAAGTTTTCTAAGTCTAAAACTAATACATAAGAAAACAGTGCAGAAATACCATCCTTGATGCTTTGAGAATCTGAGTATAAGCACATCAGAACAAATAAAAACTAACCCTGGACTTCCCACATACCTGAGCAAATAAATTTTTTGGTATTAAAAAAAAAAAGTGAGAGTTAGAGAGAAAAGAAATGAGAAAATGCCCTCGGTATATAATAAGAACACATCTTTTTACTGCAGTAACTTTTGCAATGCCATGGACTGTAGCCCGCCAGGCTCCTTTATCCATGGGATTTCTCAGGCAAGAATACTGGAGTCGGTTGCCATTTCCTTCTCCAGGGGATCTTCCCAACCCAGGGATCCAACTCACGTATCTTGCTTGGCAGGCAGGTTCTTTACCACTGATCCACCTGGGAAGCCCGTACTAAACAAAACAACAACAACAACTATAACTCCACAGTCCAGAGAGGATACCTCTCTCTCATCTTCTTTGGTGGTTCCAGAAGTTCCTCAGTTCTAAGACATTATGAATGCTTCTGCAGCCTGCGGGCGGTGACTCTAAACTTCTAAGTACACAAAACTCATAACGGACTAACAGGAACAGGACAAACATTATGTCCTGGTGACACGCCAGCTCTATTAACTAGTTATACAGTGGATATGAAGGGATGGGACACAAATCCACTGGTTCTACCACTGTTCGGTTGGATTCCTGTTAAAAACAAGTCTCCAGCAGTCAAATAAACCAATGTGCCATCAAAAATGGCTGCAAACAGTAAACAAAAATTATTAACTGTATCCGTTGGATACAGAAATAAAAGAATGAGAAAACTTACTTTTTTCCCTTGACAATTCAAAAGATGTTGCATGCCAAGTATAGATAATAAAGCTGAGAGACACGAAAACGCAGAGGAAAAAGAATGAACCGGGTAGGTGGGAGGGGGAATCGGGATGGGGAATACATGTAAATCCATGGCTGATTCATGTCAATGTATGACAAAAACCACTACAATATTGTAAAGAAATTAGCCTCCAACTAATAAAAATAAATGAAAAAAAAAAGAATGAACCGGGTATTAGGGGCCGTGTACGGAACTTTCTGAATTCCTCCTCTGAAATGTAAAAGCCTGGCCCCTGGTCACTTACTTGGACTTTCTCTCCTCGTGGCCGTCTCTGGGGTTCCGGTCTTCTCGGACGTCTTCCCGCTTTTCCCTGCGGTCCTCGCGAACCTTCTCCTTGTCTTCCCACTCCCTCTGGCGCTCGCGCTCGCGCTCCCTCTCCCTCGCTCTCTCGCGCTCGCGCTCCCGCTCCCGCTCCCGCTCGCGCTCCCGCTCCCGCTCCCGCTCCTCGCGCTCGCGCTCCCTCTCCTCGCGCTCGCGCTCCCGCTCTTTCTCCCGGTCGCGCTCCCTCTCTCTCTCCCTCTCTCGGTCGTGCTCCCGGTCTCGCTCTCGCTCCCGGTCTCTCTCCTTCTCTCTTTCTCTCTCGCGCTCCCGCTCCCGCGCCCGCTCTCTTTCCAATTCCCTTTCTTTCTCTCTCTCCCGGTCCCGCTCGCGCTCGCGCTCTCTCTCCCGCTCGCGCTCCCGTTCCCGGTCTCTCTCCCTAGCCCTTTCGTCTCTTCTATCATCCGTTCTGTCTACTCTTCGTTCCTCTCTTCTTTCATCACGCTCAAGCTCGTCATTCCTTCCCTGATGTCGAATTGGTGAGCTTGGTCTTTGATCTAGAATGAAAATCAAGTTTCATCAGTGATTAATTTGACAGATAAAAGCTATTGTTAACACAGTATGGCAAATCTTAAACTTTATCTGTGTATAGGGTCACACTGGTAACAAATATAAATCAGGTACTATATTTACTTTTAATTTAATCATCCAAATAATCGCCACTAGATTTTTTAAAATATTCTTTTCTTAAAGGTCACTTTTATTTGCCCTCTAACTACCCTGTTTCTGCTCCCATCAGCCCCGCTCCCACCTCCCGTGATCCGCCTTTCATCTTTCTCTGCATGCTCCCTGCCCTGCCTCCAGCCCACTGCTCCAACCCCACTTTCTGCCATCTCTACCCTTCACCTCTGATCTTCTCTGTCCCCCCAGCAGGGCCTGAGAACACTGGTGGCAAAGGATAGGGGCAGCAGGAGGTGTAGAACATAGGAGCTGAAGGAAAAAAAAAATTTCCCTCGTAAGTCACACCTCTAATTTCAGGCCGAAAATATATACACAAAGTGCAGCTACTATGTGAGGAAAATATAGTAGAACAAAACATTGTCAGTATTTGTTGCTGAGATATCAATTTATCATAAACTAGAATATTAAGGGTACTGATGCTTAGCAATCTTGAAATATAAAAAGTGTTTCATATTAGTGATCTATATTTATAAATAACTACTAATAAACTGAAAACTTTAATCATATAACTACTCAGATGAAGAGCTGTTTTCTTAAAATGTTAAATGATAATGATAACCTCATCACATTTATATACATATATATATATTTTTTAATACATGAATCATATAAACAGACTGAATACATGCTGCCCAATATGCCCAACTGAGCAAGAAATTAGTCTGGGATCAAAAAATGTCTAAGAAAATGGCAAGAACCTTTCCACAGAGATAGCCAGTTTTGAAAAGCAGGTCACTGTGCTAGGATCTAGGCTACTACAATGTCTCTATTTTCATACTGCAAAGTAATGTTTACTAGTTAGTCATAAAGGTCCTAGCACAATATGGCCAACAGGGTTTGTACATGAAATCCCTAGCATCAACTTATTAAGCAGAATAATTTTAGGATATTTGTAGGGAAGGGGTCAATATAGTAATTTGAATTTCCTTTCTTATCACAGATAAAAAGATAAGAATTATCCATGCTTATTCTTTAGAGGTTATATATCAAGCTATGAAAGTTCATAGAAGTTTAAAATCGAAAGAAAACTAAACTCTGTCCACCCCCCCTTTCCTCATTCTCTTCTTAGAATTTATGGTCCAAAAGTTGATTTATCAAAGTCAGAGAGATGGTAAATACATGAGGCTCTCAGGACTAGAAGTCAGTTCCCTTACACCCCCACTTTTGTTTTTAACTTTTGCTGAAATCAATTTAAATTTAAAATTGTTCCATGTACTACACGCTAGTTCCTGGAAAGCTATATACTCATATCTTTGACTGTCTGAATTCCTGGTTTGGGGGTCATACTAATGTCACAAAGATTACAAAACAACCTGAAACAAATTCAATACTGTAATTTATAGCAATTCACACTTGAAATTTCTGATTATAGCAATGTTAGGGAACAGACTGCTTTACTCAGGCAAGCTTTTTCTGACAAATGAAAACTATCCTCCCAACCACACTGACAAAGTTCCATACTTCAAAGAAAATGGAAAGGAACATCGCTTAATACATCTCATCTTCTGTATCCTTCCCCCAAAATGTGTTTTTCAAAGGTACACCTCTCTTCATATATTTCCTTACGTTAATGAATGGCATGCCCACTCATGAAATCCATTCTGAGTTTTCCAAGTTCCACTGTATTCAAGTACCATCAATTTCACTCTCAAAATATTTCTTTTTTCCATTTTCTCTCTCAATTCCTACAATTCATATTATTAACTTAGACTTTGGTCTTCTTAGATGCCCATGTTAGCAGTGGTCTAACGTCTTTTGGTCTTTTCGTAGACTCTCTAATGCTTTTATTTTTATTGATGAAAACTAATATTTTTTCCAACTACTTAAAAAAAAAAGGCTGTTTAAAAGCACTTATTATAGGCAGTGAAAAAGGCAATTAAATCCAAATTTTTTAGCCTGACTTATTAGGCCATTTATAACATGGTCTGTGGTCTCTCACCCATCCTTTTTCCTTCTTTCCTTTCAATTGTAGCACACCTCTACTCCAACCTCATGATTCTTTACTCCCCAGAGCATATGTTTTTTCCAGTCCCGTGTGTCTGCACATCTTAGACTCTCTACCTGACAGTGTTTCTTCCATGGCTCCTTCTAGCCAACTCCTATTCATTCCTCAGGCCCTAATTCAGATGTCTCTTCTTCAGGATGCTTTTGTGGATTGCCTCAGATTTCTATGTGCATCTTTGTCTTCTCACAGAACTTCATACAGTAGTAGTATTTATCATATCTGATTGTCTACCCTAATCAGCCTGTGAAGAACTAATGGGAAGATTTAAATTCCTGAGCACAAGAACAAGGTCCTGAGCACATCTCTACCTTTGACCTCTATCCATCTCCCTTTGCTCACTATACTCTAGTCACACTGATCTTCTTTCAAATTCTAGGACATATGAAGTTATTTCCCATCTCACAGAATTGGCACATATTCTTTTCTCTGCATGTAATGTTTTTACCCTCAATACCTACAATGCTAGCTTCTTTCCTTGCATTTATACCTCTGCATATATGTCATCTCAAATTTTTCATAAGCACACTATTTAAGGAAAGTAGGTCCCACTCAACCTTTATTTCTATCTGGATCTCTTATATGTTTCCTTGAAAGCATCCACCAATCATTTCTGTCTTCAGGGGAGATATTGTCCCTTTTATAAAGTTTTACATGTGCAAGAACTGTTGTACTCCAAAAACCCAGCAAACTGCAGGAGTACTCAATAATCATTTGTAGAATATATAATCAAAAGTATATTTCTATTTCAACTGTACAACTGATATTTACTGAAGTGTTATAGTAAAATAAAATAGAAACAACAGGACATGTACTCAGAAAGCCTGAGTTTGAATTTTAGCTTTAGAACTTTATTCTCTGACAATGAAAAGAATCATTACCCTTCTCTTGGCCCAAGTCTCCTAAATTATAAACACAGATTTCCTTATCATACCTAAGCCCACAGATATTGAAAGATACAATGATTTAAAACATACATTTTCTGACTTAATACTGTAAAGAACATTAAGCCAGAGAGTATATAAAGAGCAACTTTCAAAGTTCTTGGTAACTCAATACATATGTGGTTGAACTAAATAAGACTGAAACCAAATGCTACACTGAATTCAGGCATGAGATGAGAAAAATCTGAGAGGGACATGAAACTAGAAAAAAAGAAAAAATAATAAGATATAAAAAAAAGCATTACTAGGACATGGTGTTAGATTAAAGAGAATAAAGACTGGTGAATCAGTGTTTGGGAAGAAATAATTTCAGGCATTAAAACAGATCATATCAACTCCAGCCTCATCTGTAACTAAAGAAATCATACACATCTTTCAACCCAAATGCATTAGGCTTGCTATAACAAACTCAACTCAGCAACTTGTATCTATGTCTCCGATCTCATCTATGCTCTCAAAAGTACAAGGTGTCTTAGTATCTTCGTTCTCCTTTTATTACGACCCATATCAAGATAAATGTTACCTCATATATAATACAGCCCACTGTGAAGCATCAACACTCAGTTCCCTACTCCATCAAGTTTTATATGATGTTAACTTCAGCATTATAGCAAACCTTACTTTAGTAACTAGGCAAAGTTAGTAAGACCTTCATAAGGCCTTCATAAGGTCACAGATGTTCAAAGGCCTAACACGTACTGACAATAAAAGCTTGTTTAAGGAAGTACTTATAACCCTTCTAAACGGCCTTCTAGTATCTTGCTTCAATACAGTTTTGTTTTAAACGGTCTTCTAGTAGAGTAACGGAAAATTTTTAGCTTAGCTTAAAATATACAAGAATATAAAGTTAGCTAAACAAAGTATTACATATTCTCAGGAAGGAACATGAATAAACTATTTCTGCAGACAGCCCCTAACCCATCATCACCACCTTTGTCTTGTTCCTCCCTGGCAGTCCTTACAAGTCTGTGTATCACAGCTAGCGAGTGAGTGAGTGGTCAGGACACTCGGATGAGAAACTATCTCCTGAATCAGAAATACCTGAAATGTTACCCAAGCACCTATGTTCTTGAAAACACTGTGAGCTGTTTGGTTAAGGTTAGAGACATGCAGCAAGGCACCTCAACTCTTGCAGTACGTAAGTACCTACTAATTCAGTACCTGCTCTGTTACCACGTGAGTACTGGTAGCCAGTTATTTAGATAATCTCTACTAAACTAAGTAAAAAAGATTATATGACTAAATAGCTTAAAACGTGCCAACAAACGAAAGTCTTAAAAGATCTTTTATGTTAAAAAGTAAACTGATAATGGTTGGAAAAAAACTACAATTCTCCCAATCAACACTGGTGACTATTTAACAGTATTTCACTTAACAAACCTCTGTCTCTGTTGTCACGACGGTCTCTCTCCCCGTGTCTTCTCTCAAAGGAAGAATCTCTTGCTTGCTCTCTGCTGTCTCTCTCAGGGTATCTGTCTCTCTCAGGGTAGCTGCTTCGCGTCTCCCAGCTGTCGTGATAGTTGCTACTACTGCTGTGACTATCAATCTGAGAACCTCTTGTGCCTCGACTTCCTAAACAAAGGATATTCACAAAGGATATAAACAAACATTTAACACATACACTTCATTCAACAAGTTGTCAGTCACAATCCTTTCTCCCCCAAAACATATAAAGATGTGTTGCTGTTGGGTTTTTTTGGTGAGTTTTTATATTTGAAAGTGTGGTAATCATTGTTGAAAACGATATTATATGCTGGATTAAAATACTCAAAGTGTCTAAGGACTGACTTGAGTAAGCTTAAGTCCTCATTTTCCCTTCCTTAAAAAAAAAGGACACATAATGAAATCATAAAGCAAACAGACTCATTTCAATTAAGCCAAAAAACAATGGAACAAAAAATAAAAACTTATTGCATATCTAAATTACAGAAACACCATAAAAACATTTAAAATATGAATTATGGATATATTACATTGACTACACTTTATAGTGAAAGCATTCTAATATAAAACCAAGGTATGCTGTTGACAGTAGGTGATACCTGAAAATCTTCATTAAAAAACTGGGCAATGAATGTTCACAGTAGCTTTGTTATAGCCCCAACCGTAAAGTACCCAAATGTCTTTCAATGGGTGAAAGGTTAAACTAACTGTGGTACATCCAGATCATAGAATATTATAAGTTACAAACTACTGATACATGCAATTACTTGGAAACTTAAGGAAATTCTGCTAGTGAAAAAGCCAATCTCAACAGGATACACACAGCAGGATTCAGTTTATGTAATACTTTTGAAATAATAATTACAAGATAATAGACATATTAGTGGTGGCCAGGGGTCAAGGACAGGGGAGGAGATTTGAATGTGGCCACAAACAGATAACAAACAGAGTCCTGTGATGATACAGCTGAGGATCTTGATTGTGGTGATGGTAATGCAAGGCTACAGAGTCAATATGGAAAATACTGAACAGTATGGAAGTTCATCAAAAGATTACAGAACTACCATCTGATCCAGCAATTCCACTTCTGGGTAGAGAGCCAGAGAAATTGAAATTAGGATCTGAAAGAGATATCTGTACTCCCGTATCTGTATTCGCATGTTCACTGCAACATTATTCACAACAGCCAAGACAGAAACAACCTAAATGCCCAATGAGAGATGAATGGGGAAGAAAATGTTGTATATACACATAATACTTTGGCCACCTGATGCAAAGAGCTGACTCATTGGAAAAGACCTTGATGCTGGGAAAGACTGAAGGCAGGAGGAGAGGGGGATAACAGAGGAAAAGATGGTTGGATGGCACCACTGACTCAATGGACATGAGTTTGAGCATCAAACTCCAAGAGATGGTGAAACCTGGCGCACTGCAGTTCATGGGGTTGCAAAGAGTCAGATATGACTCAGCGACTGAACAACAACAGATATATATATATATAAATAATGGACTTGTCTTTCTTGTTTTTAGTCACAAAGTGGTGTCTGACTCTTTTGCAACTCCATGGACTAGAGCCTGCCAGGCTCCTCTGTCCATGGGATTTCCCAGGCAAGAATATGGAGTGGGTTGCCATTTCCTTCTCCAAGTGATCTTCCTGACCCAGGGATGGAAACTGAGTTTTCTGCATTGGCAGGTGGATTCTTTACCCCTGAGTCACCTGGGAAGCCCTATAAAGGATTATTCACCCTTTAAAAAGAATACAGTCCTGCCATTTGCAACAACATGGAAGACATTTTGCTAAGTGAGATAAGTTAGGCACAGAAGGACAAATGCCACGTGATACCACTTATATGTGGAAATTAAAATAGTCACACTCATTGAATCAGAGAGTAGAATGGTTTTACCAAGGGGCTGGTAAGAGGGGGAACACGGAGGATTAGTCAAGGGGTACAAAATTTCAGTTGTACAAGATGAGTAAATCACAGAGATCTACTGTACAGCATGGTGTCTACAGTTGATAACATATTGGAAACTCAAAAATCTGGTGAGAGGACAGATCTTATATCAATAGCATTCTCATCATACACACATACAAGTAATAATACAGTGAGAGGAAACTTCCACATATTAATGGCACAGATTGTGGTGGTTTCAAGGGTATACACCTATCTCCAAGCTTATTAAGTTGTATATATTAACTGTGTATAGATTTCTGTATGTCAATCATACCTCAGTAAAGTGGTTTAAAAAAAAATTGCATAGAGCTACACACACACACACACCTTACAGGTAACAGGTTTTGAGCACTGAAAGAATTACAGTATAATTCTAAATACTTTAATTGGGATGTTTTAATAATCAAAATATCTATAAAGACTATTTTAATAATTAAAGACTAGAGAAAGAAATTTTAAAGACTACAAATGAGCTACATATAACATCAAGGAATGAAAAGGTAAATGTCAGAATAGATGCTAAGAGAAAATTGGTAAAAGAAAAAAAAAAAGTCATGTCTGAGGATACAACTCAGAAAATGAAACAGAGACAGAGATGGAAAACCTGAAAGTTAAGAATCAAGGAGAACATAACGGGAAGACTGAACAAATGTCTGAGAGTGAAAGTGAAGTCGCTCAGTTGTGTCCAACTCTTTGCGACCTCATGTCCATGGGATTCTCCAGGCAAGAATACTGGAGTGGGTTGCCATTTCCTTCTCCATAGGATCTTCCCAACACAGGGATCAAACCCAGGTCTCCGGCACTGCAGGCAGACTCTTTACTGTCTGAGCCACGAGCGACTCAAACATATGTCTAACTATATGCTAAGATAGAAAGACTGAAGGGATAGAATAAGTTATATCATACAAATACTAACCAAAAGAAACCTGTGAGGGGATAATCTTTTTTAACCAAAAAGATAACATTCAGGATGAAGAGGATCATTCTGTAACAGTAAAAGGAATAATTTGCCTTACATGTACCTACAAGCAAAGCCTCAAAATATTCAAAGCAAAAATTGATCAAATCACACAAAAATCACAAATTCAAAATAATAGTGGAAGATTCAGCTCACATCTCTGTAATGATAGAAAAAGCAGACTAGAAAGAAAATTAAATGTAGATTTGAAAGCATGATTAACAAACCTGATCTTAGAGACATACTTTACATACTTTGCAACCATTAAAAGCACATGCAGAATACATGAAAACTGACTGATAAGCCACAAAATAAGTCCTAACAAAAAAAAATGCCAAAAAACTGAGTTCAAAGTCTCCTCCAACAACAATTAAAATTGAGGGTAGGGGGTTTATTTTAAAAAGCATGATTAGAAATTTAAAATCCTATTTCTACACAACTCATGAATCAAAGAAAAAACCATACCACACTTCATAGTGTTTAGAACAGATAAATATAATCAGACTATCAAAGAACAGATAAATGCTCATTTATATATAAACTGTTCTCTTTCAGAAAAGAGAAAAAACAGAAGCAACACTTTCCAACACATTTTGATCTCCAAACCAAACAAAGACAGTATTAAGAAATAAAACCTATGCAATGTTATGCTGGCTCCAAAGAGCCACCAGCTTGCTTCTCTTCTCATCTTCACACTGAGTGGCCTTGTTAGTAGCTCAAAATCTGCTATGGCAGGAGTGATTTATACTATGGAAACTGGCATTAGCTACAAGCCAGGGCTTTCTTTCAGAAGAGTAAGTTGTTAAATATTTACACTCATACACTGATTATATGCCAACCTCAATTACAAAAAAGATTTTATGTCAAAATTAAGTTTTAACAAACCTATTTTGGAACTTTTAAAAGAAATGAGATGTAAATTTATTTTAGAAATGCAAGAATAGTTCTGAAAGTGAAAGTATCAGTTGCTCAATTGTGTTTGACTCTTTGGAATCCCATGGACTGTAGTCCACCAGGTTCCTCTGTCTATGGGATTCTCCAGGCATTAATACTGGAGTGGGTTGCCACTTCCTCCTCCAGGGGATCTTCCTGATCCAGGGATCGAACTCGGGTCTCCTGCATTGCAGGTAGTTTCTTTACCATCTGAGCCACCAGGAAAACCTATTTAGAATAGTTGTAAATTTAAAAAAAAAAATTAACATAAGTAACAAGGTAAAAGAGACTGACTATATGATCTTCTCAAGATACAAAAAAACAGGCATGACAGAAGCTGCCAGTTAAGTTAGGAAAATTAGGAGATACCCTTTGCTGGTGGCTTAGCTATAAGAAACCTCCTGACAATGCAGGAGCTGCAGGAGACACGGGTTCTATCCCTCAATTGGGAAGATCCCATGGAAGAGGGAGTGGTAACCCACTCCAGTATTCTTGCCTGGAGAATTCCATGGACAGAGGAGTCTGGCGGGCTGTAACCCCTGAGACTGCAAAGAGTTGGACACGACTGAAGTGACAATGCACCCCTTAACACAATAAAAAGCATCTGCAAGTGGAAAAGAACTCCCCTGCCAAGGGAGAAGACCAGGGTTTGATTCCTGGGTTGGGAAGATTCCCTGGATAAGGAAATGGCAACCCACTTCAGTATCCTTACCTGGGAAAAGGAAACCCCACTAACGGAGGAGCCTGGCAGGTTACGGTCCACGGAATTGCAAAGAGTTGGACACAACTTAGCAACTAAACAAACAGCAAAAATCTACAAACACCATGCTTAACAGTGAAATGTCAGCAATAATTCCTTAAAATCTGAAACAAAGCAAAGAAGCCCATTAGACCACTGTAGTCAACAGTGCACTGAAACAGCTGCTTAGCAGGTTACTGACAACGAATAAATATTACGCAGAAAGAAGAGCCAAATATGTCTATTCCCAGACGTAAATGTTTAAGAGAATCTAATTATATCTACCGAGAAAATACAGTATCATAATGTAAGATGAATATAAAAAATTTAACATTCCATACACCAGCAATAAGCATCAGAAAATGTTTTAAAATATATCATTTGGTGTGCCTGTATACATTCACTTAAGCACTATTCAAAACCAAAAAAAAAGTTGCTTCAGTGACGTCCAACTCTTTGGTATCCTAAGGACCACAGCCCGCCAAGTTCCTCTGTCCAGGAGACTCTACAGACAGGAATAATGGAGTGGTTGGCCATGCCCTTCTCCAGGGGATCTTCCCAACCCAGGGATCGAACCCGTATCTCTCAAGTCTCCTAAACTGGAGGCAAGTTCTTTACCACTAACACCTCCTGGGAGCTCAAACATAGAGGATTCAATAACTTACGGCATACCCTACGATATACACTATGCACCAAAAGGAGGATGTGGCTGTTGACCAAGTTGACTGATATCTCCAAGATATTTTAAAGTGAAAACAGCAGCATACAAAATATATAGTTGTTTTTAATAAAAAATTCTTAAAAATTATATTTGTAAAACCAGAAGAGAAAATGAATAAACATACATATTTGCTTATATAGAATGTTCTTCAGCTGGATACATACAAAACTGGCTAGGACCAGGTCAGGAACAGAGGGGAGGCTTTCACTATGTATCTTTTCATAGCTCTGAAATTCTGCACCATGTGAACACATTATTAAAAAGAGAATTTTTTAAAAAATATACCATTTACAATGGCAACAGAAATAGAAGTTACCCAGGAATAAAACATGTACAAGACCTTAATAGAAAAAGTTATTAATAAATTTAATGTATTTGAAGTAAAAATCCAACAGTTTTTTCATGAAGCTTTAAAAAAAATTCATTTTTAAAAGACAGCCTTCAGAATGGGAGAAAATAACAGCAAACGAAGTAACTGACAAATAATTAATCTCAAAAATATACAAGCAACTCCTGCAGCTCAATTCCAGAAAAATAAACCACCCAATCAAAAAAAGGCCAAAGAACTAAACAGACATTTCTCCAAAGAAGACATACAGATGGCTAACAAAACACATGAAAAGATGCTCAACATCACTCAATCAAATCACTCAATCATCACGCAAATCAAAACCACAATGAGGTATCATTTCACGCCAGTCAGAATGGCTGCTATCCAAAAGTCTACAAGCAATAAATGCTGGAGAGGGTGTGGAGAAAAGGGAACCCTCTTACACTGTTGGTGGGAATGCAAACTAGTATAGCCACTATGGAGAACAGTGTGGAGAGTCCTTAAAAAACTGGAAATAGAACTGCCATATCACCCAGCAATCCCACTCCTGGGCATACACACCAAAGAAACCAGAACTGAAAGAGACACGTGCATCCAAATGTTCATCACAGCACTGTTTATAATAGCCAGGACATGGAAGCAACCTAGATGCCCATCAGCAGATGAATGTATAAGAAAGCTGTGGTACATACACACCATGGAATATTACTCAGTCATTAAAAAGAATACATTTGAATCAGTTCTAATGATGTGGATGAAACTGGAGCCTATTATACAGACTGAAGTAAGCCAGAAAAGAAAACACCAATACAGTATACTAACGCATATATACGGAATTTAGAAAGATGGTAACGATAATCCTATATGCGAGACAGCAAAAGAGACACAGATGTATAGAACAATCTTTTGGATTCTGTGGGAGAGGGTGAGGGTGGGATGATTTGGGAGAATGGCATTGAAACTTGTATATTATCATATGTGAAACAGATCGCCAGTCCAGGTTCAATGCATGAGACAGGGCTCTCAGGGCCAGTGCACTGGGATGACCCTGAGGGATGGGATGGGGAGGGAAGTGGGAGGGGGGTTCAGGATGGGGAACACATGTACACCTGTGGCGGATTCATGTCAATGTATGGCAAAACCACTACAATAAAGTAATTAGCCTCCAATTAAAATAAGTAAATTTATATATTAAAAAAATATATGAAAAAGCAAAGGGCTAAGAAAAGCCAAGACAACTATAAAGGAGAAGGTGACGGGCTTTCATCTTACTGTGAAACTCTAATAAACCAACAGGCCTATAGAAAGAGTAAGAATGGTCAGAATTCTGCAGCAGTGGTTTGGGGAGGGGAGCAAAGTGGGTGGAGGAAGAAAGATGTCAAAGTTGACTCAGTCCAGGCAGTGTGGAGATAGTCAAAGTCACTTAGGTAGGTTTTTATTGATGATAATGGTGATGCCAAATGCTTTTTAGAGGAAGATAAGAAAAATGGCTTAAGATCCTGACATGGGATGTTTTGAAGTGGCTTTGAAGCAAGCACCAAGTACTGAAAAACACATGAGTTAGTCATTTCTGACACCACCAACTTTGAAAGTCTATCGTTTTAAATCTCATTTTAATGATCATTTTATCATATATTTATCTATTAATTAGAAATCACTTCATTTTGATGTTTTTTTTTTTTTTGCCTGATAGCAATTTTCTTAGTGTTCCACATTAACCAAGATGGTAGCCATGACTGGACATAATTCAACTAGGGGGTGTGTGGGGGGTGGTCCCTAAATCAGGCCCCATTTATCTTCTGCTACTTTAGCTAATAATTCCTACTAGGAATTTATAGAGAAGATGAAAAATTCAATTAATTGAAATTATTTTGACAAAGTGATAATGAATGTCAGAAATAAACAAATCTTAGGAGATTTCATAATTTCTATATGAACATACAAGATACAGTTCACAGACAAGTCAAAAATCTTACCCTTTTCAGGCATCTCTGGAGCTCTTCCTCTACTTCTGCCCATCCGGTCATTCCTAATCTCACTTCGAGACTCATTTCTGGAGTCATTCCTTATTTCAGTGCGAGAACTTTCTTCTCTCAGATGGTTTCTGCCATAACTTCGGGATTCTTCCTGATACGTGTCCTCCTTTCGATGAGCATCTCGACTTTCACGGTCCCTGTAGTCATGGGCATCACGAGTAGACCGAGAATCCCTGGGGTCACGGCTCTCTTTGTTGTCTCTGCTATAATCTCTCATCTCCCTGGAGTCCCGGATGTCTCTAGAGTCTCTTAGTTCCCTTCGGTCTCTAGTATCTCTGGCATCTCTCCGATCCCGCCCATCTCGAGGTTCTCGGTCATCCCTGTGGTCTCGAGAAGAGCTCTGATCCTGTTCATACTCTCGTTCTTCTCTTGTGTCCTTTTCCCTGTCCCTTTTACCTCTAGTCTCTGTAAACATAATTTTGGAAATACCCTGTAATTCCTTTCACAAAATTGTAGGAAACTAGACAATGTATTCAATACAGAACTTTAAAATTTTTATTACAATGGTAATTCATGTTCTTTACAAAAATTAAAAGGAGAAAACATGGGAAAATAAGAATTAGACCTATCTGTAAGCTAAAATTCCAAAGGTAATTTTATTAACACCTGGATTATTTGTCTTGATTGAACAAACTTTGAACATGATATTCTGGTATCAACATACCCATACATAAAAGCTGAAACAAGTAAGCTGATCTCCTATCAATCCTATCAATGATGGCTTACTTTTAGAAATCACTTTTAGATCCAAAGGTACAAGTGACTTTAACTCATCTCTACTAAGTACAGGCCAGACTAGTTCACACATGACCTCCAATGTACTTAAGCACTTGAGAGTAACCTATAGTTAGTAAGCTGGCTGGCAAAAAGATACTGCTATTCACCCTTTCTCTTTCCTTTTTTTTTTTTTAAAACTATTTAGTCGACTCACACTCCCATCTCTAAAGCTTTTTCTACTTAAAGCATTTTCTAACATTTCATGGGAAAACTTTAAAAAACAACTTCAGTTTTTAAAAAGCTGGAATGAACCTCGATAGTTATTTAATTCAAACTCGTCATTGTATACATGAAGGAACAGAGGCCAAGAGCTTAAGTGGTTTAGTCAGCCCCATACATCGTGGGAATTTGCAAAGATTAGAAACTATTCTTTAGAAATATCTAGAGAAACATAAATTGATTACAGCATAAATCTGAAATGAAATGAAATGAAATGAAATGAAAAGAATTAACAAGAGACCCTCAAAGAACAACCCCTGTACTTTTTTTTAAATCAGATTCCTTCATAAATTGCTCTTATACTCTGGAACAACCACAAGATCTGATGCTATTTTGGCAATTTTATAGTAGCCTAGGACCTATGGCTAGGTCCGTAGACTTTCCCTGTCTAGTATCCATGAGATCCTCATCAATAACTTATCTCCTCTGCCTACATCCATAAATGCCATCTAAGCATAGAAGCACTAGGCAAGAATCTGACAATGTCTCAATTTTTTTTTTTTTTACTACATTTATGACTTCACGTCCTCCTCCAATACCAAGAAATTTAATCACTTAGCACTAGGTTCTTCTTTTATGATGCCCCCAGCTGTCTTTACAAAGACACCCAGTTACAGTATTTGCTCTTTATCTAACTCCCCCTCCTTTCACTAAAATTATTCTTATTTCAAAAAATGACTTTCAGAAGATTACACAAACATCCTCCTTACAAAGAATCAAAAAGTGTATTGTTTATTATTAAAAGGATTCATATAACGTAAAACCCCCCTTACCACAAAAAAAGCATTCCTGTAAGAATCAACTGCATACTAAATTTCCCCTTCATTCGGGGAACTGTGTTTAATAAAAGGTATTTTGAAATAATAAAAGAGTTTTCATTCAATAAGTAGTCACTAAAAATATACTATATTCCCAGTCAACCCTAGTTGTTGATAGGTATAAGAGCATTTTCCCCACTTACCAATGTTTTATATATACTGCTGTGCTGATCTGGTTCCAAAATCATGCATACAAGGAATAATTCTCTAAAATATGTGCTCTGTCTAGTCCCTATCTATGCATCCATCATTTCTAGAATAAAATAATTATTTCTTGCACTGCTGACTGGAGGAGAATAAGTTCAACATGTTTCATAGGAGACTGCTATGTGATGCAGACACTTTAAAAGTGCACATTAAACAGAAATGTTGTTGCAAGTAAGCACGTATTTCCTGAGTATTCTTTATGTTAAAAAAAAACTAACTCAGAAGATTTTAGGAAAAAGGCTTGTTAAGTTAAATAAATAAGAAGAAGCTTAGACAAGAATTACAGAAAGAGATGAGAGTGATTCAATTGTACTGCCAAATAATAACATCTCAACTTAAAGACGGAATAGCAAATTCAAAGTTAATGTAATGCTCAGGAATCTAAAAACTGTCTTGCTTACTTCTTTGTTGAGTTAGATCTGGAAAACTGATCACTTGGTTCCCACGGACCTACTGAACATTCCCCCAGCCCACACCTCTTTCTTTGTTAAGACATCTCTGATATGTTCCAACTCTGCTCCCTGGTTTGTTGCTTTTCTTTTAAACTCTTCTGTTGTTTTTAAAGAATTAGCTAAGCAATTATACTGACACTCTTAAGAATCATATAGCCCCAAATTTCTAGAACTTGAGAATACTCAAGTAAAACAATGTACTGAAAGAAGGCAACAACTTAATATACATATAAATGCCCAATTACATATATCTAGTAGCTTACCTTTCCATGTCCTTAAGCACCTCCTATTGCCCTAGAGAGCTCTGATCCACGTGTTACAGAAAATGTAGTATAACAGTTCTCTTTTACCCCTTATTCTAACAGTAAGTCTGAATGTCCAATTTTTTAATAAAGAAAATACCCACTTACATAAAACAACGCTAAAAAACCCACAATACTGCCAAGTATTTACCTTCCCTTCTTTCATGACGCCGATCGTGAGACTGTGAAGTTCGCTCATGATCGTGCCTCCCCTTCTCTCTCACTGGAGAGCGATGTCTTGGAGGGCTTTGCTTTCTCTGAGGAGAAGCCAAAGAATGTGAAGGATAGGGAGAAGCAGAGCGGCGTAAAGGTGGGGTTATTGTCCTCTGATAAGATGGTGAAGGAGTTCTTTTTCGGCGAGGAGAAGGAGAATGTCTTTGAATTGACGATCCTGACTGTGAGGAAGAAGAGTGATGTCTAGAAGATATTGGAGAATGATGTTGTCCTGCTGGGGAGGTGGACCTGTAAAGAGAAACAACAATAAAAAACTGGATTCAAGAGTCTTCACTTCTGGCCAAAGGAAAGTCTTTTAAAACAACAAAACCCTGAATATAAAAGTTAAAGCTAAAAGTGTGAATAATAATTTTAATTCAAAATGATGTAAAATCATTAACAGGCTGATTTTTAAGTCAGTTTGAGGCAACAGGTCTAGATGAGACACATGTTGGCCTCCTGAGCTTTGGCTCCACGGCACACTTCCTTTTCCCAGGTAACACCCTCCCGGTTCACTAACGGTTCTTATTGTCACATACAATACAGAATTCACTCTTAACCAGAGATGATCTCTGTGTGAATAGGTACTTAGAGGATGGAATCCACAAAGAGCTAAAGACAAAACATACTAGTGAGATCTAGATAGATACGACTGGCTGTGAGAACGCCTATAATTCAGGGTTGTGGGAGAAGCGAAAAGCTATCACCAGCTATACCAAATGTAAAGTTTGACTGCCTGGGCTGACATGTAGGATGGGGAAAGAACCCTAGGGTTAAGGAAAGGACATACTGCCTATACTGTCTTTATCTTAAATAACCTACCTTTCAGTCTTGGGCAGTACAAATTGAGATTTAGTTCATAAGCTTTAGTTGAACTAAGGCTTCCTCTATTCCCTTCAAATCATCTTGCTTGACTGCTGCCTGAGAAATAACTTAAAAATGCATGAAGCACATCTGAATCACTCCTATGATCTGTTAGGTCCTGGGCTCTGTCTACAATGAATATGCAAAAGCTATGTGTGATGGAGAGCTAGAATACATGCATTTGCACATTAACTGGAAAGAAACAGGACTAACATTTAAAAAAACAACATTCCAGACATCACATACTGAGATACTTATCATATTTCTCAAAGCAATCATTTCAAGGCTACCTGATTGTTCAAAAAAATTATGAGTTCCTGTCAACGTATTATGGAATTACCTTCAGTGCCTATGATGAGTATTTTTTAACTTCTGCAATGCTGACAAAGTTATTAAACCAAGATTCCTCAATCTTGGACCTACTGACATTTTATATGCAGTACTTCTTTGTGGTGGGGGCTGCCCTGTACATTGGAGGATGTTGAGAGCATCCCTGGCCCTACCCACGAGAAGCCAGTACCATCTAACTCCAACTCCCATTCATACCAGTAAAAATTACTTCATATAGCTCCAAATGTCTCCAGGGAGGTAAAATCAAGCCTGGTGGAGAAGCCTTGCCCTAAACTATGTTGTTTATAAATGATGCCTTAGTAGAACTTTTAACAACAAAAAGGTTTAAATCTATGAAATATACATTGCTGAGCCAGGAAAGTGGTCTAATATGTTGGAAAGGATTTTGTGAAATAATGAGCTGAGCAAACAAAAACACTTTTAGGATAATAGTTGACAGTAAAACAATAAAAATCAGTAAATATCAGCTAACTAGAACACCACACTTATCTAAACATTCTAGCTATTTATGATTACAAAACTTTCACACTTCTAAAAAACTGGTATTCTTTCCTCATATACAAAAAATAAGACATACACCATCAGAATTAAACTGACTCTAAACTGGAATTTATTTACTAACAGATATGAGCAGAAATGCTCAGTGGGTCTTAGCCAAATCTGGAAAACCATTTATGATGAAAGACTATTCATATACTGAACAGAAAAATTATTGCAGGACTAAGAAATTCTCATTCTCATTTGACTACTGTTTGGTGCTTTCCAAATTCAATTTCGTTAGGTTCTGATCCAATTTGGAAACACCTAAATTGAAAAAACAAACAATGTGGCTCTCCACTGAACTGACATTTTGGTTAGCTTTGAGTTTATTTCTGAGATAAACTCAAAATTGTTTCAAGAATGTCTCCAACTCCTTTTGGTGATTTGTTCACAAAACTTAAATAAAATAGTTCACAACACTGTCTTTTAAAAAACACATTACAGTCTAACTACATCTCTATTCAAATTTGGTGTCTACTGCTGCTGTTGTTCAGGTATTAGGTCAAGTCTCTTTGTGACCCGATGAACGACAGCACGTCAGGCTCCTCTGTCCTCCATTCTCTTCCTGAATTTGTTCAAACTCATGTTCACTTAGCTGGTGATACTGTCTAACCATCTCATCCTCTGTTGCTTCTTTCTCCTTTTGCCTTCTATCTTTCCCACCATCAAGGTCTTTTCCAATGAGTCAGCTTTCATATCAGGTGGCCAAAGTATTGGAACTTCAGCTTCAACATCAGTCCTTCCAAAGAATATTCAGGATGAATTTCCTTTAGTTTTGATCTCCTTGCAGTCCAAGGGACTCTAAACAGTCTGCTCCAGCACCACAATTCAAAAGCAAAAATTCTTCCACACTCAGCGTTCTTTATGGTCCAACTTTCACTTCCAAACGTGACTACCTGAAAAACCATAGCTTTGACAACACAGATCTCTGTTGGCAAAGTGATGTCTCTGCTTTTTAGTACTCTGTCTAGGTTGGTCATAGCATTCCTTCCAAGGAGCAAGCATCTTTTAATTTCATGGTTGTAGTCACCATTAACAGTGATTTCGGAACTCAAGAATATCTGTCACTGCTTACATTTTTTCCCCTTCTAACTGTCATGAAGTGATGGGAATGGATGCCGTGATCTTAGTTTTTGGAATGTTGAGTTTCACGCCAGCTTTTCCACTCTCCTCTTTCACTCTCATCAAGAGACTCTTTAGTTTCGCTTCACCTTCTGCCATTAAAGTGGTATCATCTATAAATCTGAGGTTACTGATATTCCTCCTGGTGATCGTTGATCCCAGCTTGCATATAAATGTGCACATATATATGCTCTGCATATGAATTAAATAAGCAGGTGACAATACACAGCTTTGTCATACTCCTTTCCCAATTCTGAACCAGTCAGTTGCTCCACGTCCGGTTCTAACTGCTGCTGCTTGGCCCACATACAGGTTTCTCAGGAGACAGGTCAGGTGGTCTGGTATTCCCGTCTCTTTACGAATTTTCCAATTTGTTGTGATCCACACAAAAATGGAAGAAAAACTTCAGTTCAAGCTTAGATAATCGAGCTATCATATTAAGGACAGAACACCAATGTACTGTCAAGTTATGTCTTCAGCATTTTAACCATATTTTTCTACTTATCCTTTTGGGCAAGGAGAGGGGAGTTTGTTGATTTAATCATCTATTAAATGAATGTTTGCGTCCCCTCCCCCTTCTACTCCAAATTTATATGTTTCAGGCCTTAACCTCCAATGTGATGCTATTTGGAGGCAGGGCCTTTGGGAATAATTAGGTTTAAATGAAGTCCTGAGGGTGGGGCTCCCATAATGAGATAGTGTCCACATAAGAGGAGGAAAAGACTATAGAGTTCTTGCTCCCCTGAAGTGAGGACACAGTGAGAAGACAGCCATGTGCAAACCAGGAAGAAGGCCCTCACCAGGAACCAGATCTGCGAGCACCTTGACCTTGGACTACCCAGGTCTGTGAGAAATAAATGCCTGTTGTTTAAGTTACCCAATCTATGATATTATGTAATAACAGCCCAATGTTGCTAAGTATCACAGCATTTTTACATTTTTTTCTATTGCTTTTTTTTTTTTTTAAGTCTGAAGACTGAAAAATAGTGAAAAGAGAGAGAGGATCTGTTATCAAAACAAGATGAGTCAAATTATAGATATAAGTCTAATTGGTCCCACACCTATGTTCATTCTGCATATACAAAAAAAGAGGTGACTCTAGGTAATAAAACTGTCTTGAAATCTGACCAAAACTGTTAGCAATTAGGCTTCTAGAATATTGCAGAGATGCAGTAAAATACATTTCACATTAACTAGTACACTCTAATGCCTGAAGAACTATGGATGGAGGTTCATGCCATTGTAGAGGAGGCAGTGATCAAGACCATCCCCAAGAAAAAGAAATGCAAAAAGGCAAAATGGTTGTCTGAAGAGGCCTTAAAAATAGCTGAGAAAAAAAGAGAAGCTGAAGGCAAAGGAGGAAAGGAAAGATATACCCATTTGAATACAGAGTTCCAAAGAAAGCAAGGAGAGATAAGAAAGCCTTCCTTGGTGATCAATGCAAAGAAACAGAGGAAAACAATAGAATGGGGAAAACTAGAGATCTCTTCAAGAAAAGTAGAGATACCAAGGGAATATTTCATGCAAAGATGGGAACAATAAAGGACAGAAATGGTATAGACCTAACAGAAGCAGAAGATATAAACAAGATGTGGCAAGAATACTCAGAAGAACTATACAAAAAAGATCCTCAAGACCCAGATAACCACGATGGTGTGATCACTCACCTAGAGCCAGACATTCTGGAATGTGAAGTCAAGAGGGCCTTAGGAAATATCACTACAAACAAAGCTAGTGGAGGTGATGGAATTCCAGTTGAGCTATTTCAAATCCTAAAAGATGATGCTGTGAAAGTGTTGCACTCAATATGCCAGCAAATTTGGAAAGCTCAGCAGTGGCCACAGGACTGGAAAAGGTCAGTTTTCATTCCAATCCCAAAGAAAGGCAATGCCAGAGAATGCTCAAACTACTGCACAATTGGACTCATCTCACACGGTAGCAAAGTAATGCTCAAAATTCTCCAAGCCAGGAGATGATCCGTGAACTTCCAGATGTTCAAGCTGGTTTTAGAAAAGACAGAGGAACCAGAGATCAAATTGCCAACATCCACTGGATCATTGAAAAAGCAAGAGAGTTACAGAAAAACATCTACTTCTGGTTTATTGACTATGCCAAAACCTTTGACTGTGTGGATCACAATAAAATGTGGAAAATTCTGAAAGAGATGGGAATACCAGACCACCTGACCTGCCTCCTGAGAAATCTGTATGCAGGTCAAGAAGCAACACTTAGAACCAGACTGGACTGGTTCCAAAATGGGAAAGGAGTATGTCAAGGCTATATACTGTCACCTTGCTTACTTAACTTATATGCAGAGTACATCATGCGAAATGCTGGGCTGGAATGAAGCACAAGCTGGAATCAAGATTGCT